TGTCTTGGAATAAGGAACTAATGTATACTTTTTTTTTTTAATTAGATCTTTAGTACACCACGTTATCATCCCAAAAGCCAACCGTTTGTGGACCATGTATTTACTTTCACCATTTTGGATAATAGAATATGGTTTCGGAACTTTCAGGTGAACTTAATTTTTAATTATAACTTAAAATAAGGACATACAGGGTTTGTAGACACAGAAGATATCTATCATTTTGTTTTAGATAGCTTCCTTTTCCCTACAAGACTTGCTGCAGGTAACTGTGTACTTTCTCATACCTTAAGTGGTCTATACTTCTTTTCATGGCTGTCAGTTGATATGGAGTATGAGTTTCCTAACAAGCCACTGTATATTTCACTTTATAAAAAAAAAAATTAGTATGAGGTAATTGAGTTAAAATTTGTGCTAAGTGCTGTAAAGGATACAGTAAAATATAAGGTTCTCTCCAAAAGGTTAAAATCCACCATGGGGGTTAAGACTTAGAAAAACATAGCACGTAAGAAGGTATTCAGTGACAGCTATTAGATGAGTCATACAGTGACTCAGTCAGGAGAAGAGATAATTCTAGAAACCCTTGGCAGGATAAGTCTGCAGAAAGATGGAGAGATGAAAGGAAACAGCAAGAACAAAATTTCAAACAGCATGTGACATAAACTGGGCTCTTTTCTATGTTTTATACTGAATACCGTGCAGTGTGAGTTAAGCATATCCCCTTCTTAACCTGTGAGGGCAGACATACCTGAACTAACAGTTAATATTTGTAGTTCAGAAGTTGCCTCTTAATTCCATAATCAGTAGCTGTTAAATAAATTTGACCATATATCCTATTTGTATGCCTTTTAATCTAAGTTAGTTAGATTTATAAAAACAATTTATGGGTCAATTTAAGTTTCAAAGGGTTCCCGTAGTATGCTTTCATACAGTTTGTTAATGATGGTGGCAATTTTAAAAACCACAGTTTTTCAAGAATACATGCACTGTGAAAAACAAGATATGAACCACATTCAAAGTGGTCAATTTTAAAAGAACACACTGAAAAAATACATTTTCCCATGACAACTTTCTGTAACTAATAATAGACTTCTGAAAATATTGATGATTTGGCACTTGCCAAGTTTCACCTCTATCTTGATTTTACTAATTATCAATTCTTTAAACAAGTTTGTAAAGAAGTTAAAGCCAGTATACCTTTTAGGAATAGTATTTCCAAACCAAAATGAAACTTTACTTTTTATTAAAGATCATAGAAGAAGATGCTGCTCTTGTAGAAATAGGACCTCGTTTTGTATTAAATCTCATAAAGATTTTCCAAGGGAGTTTTGGAGGACCAACTTTATATGAAAATCCTCACTACCAGTCACCAAACATGGTAAGCTGTTTTTGTTGTTCATTGGTCTTCAATGTACTAGGACCCTTTGGCCAAAATAATTCTGTGAAGTATTAATAATTACTGTGTTATTACCTGGAAAACTTAATTTGGTCTTTGCTGCATACAGACCTCAAATTATTACTTTTTTTTCATGACAGTAAAGGTATATAAGGCTCATAAGTGAATGTCTTTGCTTTATATAAAATGTTTATTTTTATTTTAAAAGCATCCAATCTTTTTTGTTTCTAGCATCGACGTGTCATAAGGTCCATGACAGCTGCAAAATACAAAGAGAAACAGCAAGTGAAAGAGGTGCAGAAACTCAGAAAGAAAGAACAAAAGACACTTGTTCCACATGATCCCACTGCAGATGTTTTTGTTATACCAGCTGAGGAAAAACCGATAGAAATACAGTGGGTAAAACCAGAGCCAAAAGTCGATTTGAAAGCAAGAAAGAAAAGGATTTACAAAAGGCAAAGAAAAATGAAACAGAGGATGGGCAGTGGGAAAGCAAAATGAATCAATGAATAACTAATTTGTTTTTCAGTTATTTTGTATTTATTCTGTATTCAGTGTGTAAATACTTTTATTATCATCTTGCACTATCTTAACGTGTAATTAGTGTGGCATTCAAAAGAAAGAAAACTTAAAATCTTAAAATCAATGATTATCTTTTTCTAAATAAAATATCACCAGAACTCAATTTCTGATTTTCTTTTCAAAATTTGTTTGGTATTACTAAAAACTTTTATTACTAAAGATTTAGGCCTGTTGTCTTGGATTAGAATTTTTGGTTTAGCAAAGCTGAAATGCAGACAGATTTATTGGGTCATTATTACCTGTAAAAACAACATTAGGCACTTTGGGAGTGTAGTTTGTGGATGGTAAAGAAGGGGTAGACTGGTAGAAAGGAAAACAGCTTACTGAGCTTTGACTCCCTGAGTCACCAGTTAATGAAGCCATGGAAAACCAGCCTCTGATCTTATCTCACCTCAAAAAAGAATACATTAAAATTCTTAGGTTTTGAGAATCAAATGAGTTAATGCCTGTGCTGAAAGTATTTTGTAAATTACAAGTTTATTTTCGAAGCAGTGAGTATAGATTAAAAATAGTAAAAGGAGGAAAAATAGGACAGTGGTGAAATAATGTCAATCAGTAAAAAAATTTTTTTCAGTTAGGTATTGGCTGTTTCTTTGTAACTGGAATAATCATGTTTGTTTTTCTGTAGCAGGGTTATCTTCTACTGATTTATAAAACTCTTTAATGTAGTAAGATTATTCTATACATCTTTTCTAGTTTGTTTACATTTTAATTTTTTTTTATTATTTTAAGTATTTATATAGGTAGAATTGTCTTCATTATGTTTCATAGTTTTTTTGCTAAGAAAGGCCTTCCTGAGTGTTTAATGGGCTGCTTACCTTGCAATAGTCTAAATTAAGATCCTTCAAATCTTGAAGTCATCTAGATTATGCAGGTAATTCAGGTCATAGATTCGCTTGAAATTATTGTATGTGGTTAGTTAGGGCCAAATTGTTAAATGCAAAAAACCAAAATGTCTGTTACTTAGGCAATTGAATATGACCTTCGATAAAAATAAGACAGCCATATTCAGAATTTATTTTTTTATTTTTAATTTTTTTTTTTTTGAGACAGAGTCTGGCTCTGTTTCCTGGGCTAGAGAGCCGTGGCGTCAGCCTAACTCACAGCAACCTCAAACTCCTGGGCTCAAGCGATCCTCCTGCCTCAGCCTCCCAGGTAGCTGGGACTAAAGGCATGTGCCACCATGCCCGGCTAATTTTTTCCATATATATATTTTTTAGTTGTCCAGATCATTTCTTTCTATTTTTTAGTAGAGACGGGGTCTCGCTCAGGCTGGTGTCGAACTCCTGACCTTGAGCGATCCTCCTGCCTCAGCCTCCCAGAGTGCTGGGATTACAGGCGTGAGCCACCGCAGCCGGCCCCAGAATTTATTTTTAAGCACCCACATCTCAGGAGCAAATTAATTATGGGTTCTCAAGATAAACTTGACAGTGAGTTGTGAGTTTCAGTGAAGACATAAACTCAATACTTTTTGATGTGTGTGTTGTGGAGTTCTGGTAGAATTTCTAATTTCACAATTTTGAATTAACAATTATGTCCCAAATTACCTCCCTTTCACAGTTATTTATATGGATACCTTATTTGAGAATTCCTCTGGAATGGATTATCTCCAAAGTCCATGTTCATTTAGAAGTCAACCTGTTTAATAAAGATATTCCTTTAGATTAAATTCAGCCTAATTACTTTTAAATTTATATACAATGTTATTGACGAAAATACATCTCTGTCTCCTCAGAAGGAAAAAATGACTCCCAGAAGTTGGATGCAAAATCAGATATAGCTGGAGAGAGAAAAAAGCACTTAAGTCACTTTTTGTCTCCCTATCCCAATTCTGTTCTCAGGAGGTGGAAAGCTTCCATTTTTCCCCAAACTCAAACTTTTCAATCCCTATCATTACCAATTTACCAGCTAACTTGAGGCCATATAGAATCTTCCTCTGGAAAAAAGGATAAAGGAAACTCTACCGATTTTGAGTAGCAAATTGGTTGGACAGTGGTGTGTGGAGAAACCTGGTGAGGCTTAGAATTGGTTTTGATTGTGTTGGGGGCAGTATGTTGGGGAAGAAAAGAACAACCTTCCTAAATTCGTTGGGTAGCCTAACCCTGTACAATAGATGTTAGCAACAGAGCTAACCCTTCTCTGTTTAATCACAAATGATTGACAAATATAACTCACACCTAACTGATGCATGTAAATGTTCCACATTACAGTGAAATGTTAGTGTATTAATGCATTTTAATGACAGGATACTATTTTGACACCTTATTAAATTGTTCAGAACAGTTGTACAGATCTTCCTTGTAAAACAGCTAGTCAGATCAGCCAAAATCTACTGGTTAAATACTATCCCGGAACTGCTTTCTTAATCTAAACCAATCTTGGAAAAGTAGGATTAGAGACCAGAAAATTAGGGTTAAAGAGTGATGGATGGATCAGCACAATTTAATCCATATCGGTGGAAAGGCTTATGGCTTGTTATCTTAAAATATGTTGATGCTTCCCTCTTAAATTGTTTAATCTTATTTACTGTCGTTCTTCATGCATATTGCTCATGAGCAGTATCAGATTTTATTAAAGTGGCAGCTGAAGAGAATTGAAGAGATCAAAAATTTAAGCGTTCAGTCCAACCGAGTTCTACCATTTATTTGAGGTTTGAGTCAACCACTTGACTACTTGGAGTCTGAATTGCCTTGGGCTCCACTGAGGAATTGTAATCAGGTATTTTCCAGAATCCTCTCCCATCCCAGCTCCTATCTCCCACTTCAGCCCTAGGTCAGCTGGCCCAGTGGTGCTACTTCATTCTGATCGCCTTCTGTACCCCTCACAATGACACCGCCGTGGCCCCGCCTCCTATCAACCGAGGCCCCGCCTCTCATCCCGCCGCGGCGCCGCCTCCCACCTGCCGCGGCCTGGCCTCTCACCCCGCCGCGGCCCCGCCTCCCCCCCGACGCGTCTCTTTCCGGAACTGAGCCCACCCCCTGGCCCATGCGGAGCCGCGGCCGCCGGCGCCGCCCCCTCCGCGCTCCCGCGTGCCGCAGCCCGCGTCGTCTGCCGCCGTCGCGCGCCTCCTCCGCCGGGCGCCGCTGCCGGCGCCGCCGCCGCGCTCGCTGGCTGGCCAGGTGCGGGCGGCGGGCTCCTGCCGGAGGAGAAGACCGCCAGCGCCGCCGTCGCCGTTTTGGCCCGGGCCCGGGCGCCGGCCCCGCCCCGGGCCCCGACCCCCTGCCTGGCCGGGAGATGAAGTGTCACTACGAGGCGCTGGGGGTGCGGCGCGACGCCAGCGAGGAGGAGCTGAAGAAGGCCTATCGGAAGCTGGCCCTGAAATGGCACCCGGGTAGGTAACTAACCCGCAACCGCCGCGGCCCCTCGGAAAGCCTGGCCCTCCGCCCCTGTCCCACCCCTCTCGCGGGGCTGACTCCGGGAGCTGGCCGAGCCGCGACCTACCGGGCTCGTAACTCTCCTCTGGCCGCGGCCCGGGCGCCGGCTGCCCACCCCTCAGTGGACGCAGCCCCCCGGCCCAGGGCTTCACTCAGGCTCGGCACCCCAGCGAGCTCACCTGCTCCTGCCGCAGGCACCGCGGAGGGCGGAGTCGGGGCTCGTAGCTCCGTCGTGTCTCAGACATGCCCTTTCCTTGCAGACCCGTGCTGCTTGGCTTCCCCGGCTTTTCCTCGGCTGCCCTTCACTTCGTCGTGGAATCCCAGCTACTTAAACCTAATTTAGGGCTCCTTTTTTACTGAAATTAAGGCAAGGGAACCATTAAAAAGTCTTTTAAATAGGAATGCCTCCCCCCCTTAGTAGTTTGGTTAAGCAGACACTGTACTTACTTCACTTTGGACATGACTCTGCCAGATGCAGAGTTTCAGTTATTTATAGTTGTCTTTCCTAGTGAAGTGTATATGTTTACTTAGAAGTATTCTTCGGATGTTTCATTTGGTTGTAATCCAGGCCTGTTGTGACTTTTATGAAGTAATCTGATCTTCCAGACTGGGAAACTGAGACAGTAGTTGACTCTCAGCTTTTTGAGATTTATAAGAGGCTTTCGCATTAGTATTAGTCAGTAAACAAGGTTCTAGAGTGTGTAATACATGCAAGTCACTACACTGTGCCTGTGTGTAGATTCTAAAATGTTAAGACAGGGACCTCAGAACCTTGTTAGGAAAACATGCCTTATACACATGATAAGTTAAAATACGACTGTGAACAAACTAGCACAATGTACATAATTGGCAGTTGGAAGAATAGAACAACTAATAAATGCGCCAGGAATTCAGGGAGGGAGTTATCACTGTGTACTGAGAGACGGTGAGGCTTCCCCTTCACAGGAGCTTGAACTAGATCCTTGAGGAATGCAGTTTAGAAAAGTTAACTTGGCACTACGGGGAAGCACGGTGGTGGACAAAAGATGTTCCAGGGCACAGTTGGATTAAAGGCGGTTTTTATTAGACGTCTAAAAAATATGGATTGGGAGAAGAGCCGAAGGAAAGGGTAGGGACCCAAAGTCAGAAGGGAATGGCTATGGCTGGTGGAGCAAGAGATAGAAGTATGCATCTGTTACTTAAAGTTATAATAATTACCAACACAGGCATGAAAAAAAAATGTGATTATAAATACATTGAAAGGGTAGAAGGAAATGAGCTAAATGTTCATTGTAGCAGGAAGTTGGAAGATGTAGCCAAAATTAATAAATCCAAAATAGTGCAAAAATAGTGTAGAAACAAGTTAGGAACTAGGAGGAAGTTAGGAATTCCTTGACTTTCTGGCTGGGAAAGGGTGAGCCAGAGAATTATGCTGTGACCAAAAGCATATGTAATTTTTTTGGAGAATAGTCCGAAATCAGATTGTGTTTTAATCTTGAGTGTTAGGCTAGGGACTGTCAAATTTGTTTTGCCAGTAACAGAGTTGTGACTGGTTTTATTAAGCTTTCTTGGGAGGGTACTATGAAGGCACCTGAGGGGTTAAATGAGGGCGAGGAGACTCCACAGTGGACAGGCAAGGGCCCAAGCCAGGCTCAGGATCCGTGGGAGTGGAAAAGCCCAAGTGGAAAAGATGTTATGAAGGGAAAATTGCCAGATTTGGTGATTAATTAGAAATCAGTGCAAGGAAGAAGTATGCAAAGAGTATGTTAATATAGTATCAGTTATATGTAACTGTATGTTATATAACATATATAACTAGTTATACATATGTATCAAATATAGTATCAGTTAACTACTTTGAAACCAAACTGTTAGGAACTGACTGTAAATATCTTCTCTGATTATCATCATAATTTATGGCATCTTAAATATCTTTTGGTTTGAAAATGCCTGTGTACTTAACGGATCAATATTCTCCCTGGAAACGCGTAATTTTGATATGTTTTGCTGATTCATAATTTGTTAAGTCTGTCACTCAACAAATGTTTAATTTCATTCTGTGTGCAATTATGTTAGATATTTCTGGGTTTAAACTTTGCCTCAAAGAATAATGTTTCCCTCAAATAGAAAGGCTGTTTTTCATGGTATTAAAAAAAAAAAGGAAACACATTATCTTTATTTCTTTTTTAAAATTGTATTTCCAGTTGACATGTAATAATTGTACATCTACTGTTTCTTTTATTGAGGAACCGAGAATAATTTCCAATAGGGTCAGCAGTCCTGCCTAGTGAGGTCACTCCTTGGGAAGGACATGCTTTCAAGAATTCATCCTCTAACTATTCCCCAAGCACCTTGCTATGTGAACAAGGCAGGAATGGTCCCTGCTCTTATGGCACGTGCAATCTGTTGGGGAGACAGAGGAAGGAAAACAGGTAGTTTCAATCCAGTAAGAGAAGAGCTGTATGAGGGCAAATACAGGATGCTTATGAGCACATGTACCCAACCTGGACTAGGTTTATGTGTGGGTAGGAGAGATGGGGAGAGCCGTCCAGGAAATGAGTCCCTGAAGAAGTGACATCTAGCTTGAGACCTAAAGCAGGATTACAGGGAACACAGGTAGAGGGGTGTAGGTGAAGGCATGGGAAAGAGATGAGCATGACCAGCTCAGCAGGCCAGGTCATGCAGGGTGTGGTAAACTGGATTAGGATCATAACCCAAGGGCACCAGGAAGCCTTTGAGGAGTTGGAAGCAGGGGAAATGATAGATTTGTGCTTTCATTTCTCTGGCTGTAGTGGGGAGAATGGATTGGAGAGGGCAATACTGAAGGTAGGGAGGCCAGGAGGTCAGGGAACATTGAAATCAGCCAGACGCTGGGAATGGATCCTCTGAGCCAGGTGCCAAAATTTTCAGTGAGTCAGGGGGAGTGGCTGGGAGATGGGTAGACATTAAGAAGGAGGGGAAGAAGGTTGTATGGTCAGATGAGCTGACTCTTGAAGGATTGCTACTTTTTATGTGCGAGTGACCAGATGGGTGCCAGCTCCACCACCAGACCTGTGGTAGGAGGACAATGGCCAGAGGAACCAAGAGGTCTGTGGGGAAATGATGTTCTGCGGGATGCTGGCTTTACTCAAGGCTAGGGCTTAAAAGGCATGGTCCATGAAATCTTCCAGAAGGCACTTAAGCAGGTTTGGGAGGGAGCAGAAGAGTGCTTGAGTGTGTGTCAGGAGAAAAGCACAAAGAATAGTGTGAGAATACCTTTTAAACTTTAATGACAGGATTTGCAATACCCATGGCTTTTGCAATTGGCTAATAATAAATGCAGACTTTTCTTTTTTTAATTGTTGCTTTTTGATTTATACTCTTGCTTTTAGATCTCAGTTCAACATTATAGTCAACTAGGTCGGTTGCATTTAAGTGAAATCAGCCATATGTTAGATTGAAAAAATGATTTCAGAAAGCAGCTCCAGTAAGAGATTGGACTTTATTTTCAAATGGTACATTAATGGGTTTTATGTGTTCAAAAGCTTTAGCTTTCTCTAAACTTCTTTGAGGGAGGGGAAGAAGAAAGTGGGAAGGAGCAGGACCAAAAGGTACAGTACTGATTAAAAGGAAAAAAGAACCTCCCACCAACAGTCACCTTTTTTGTTTTATGTAGGAAGATTCAGTTGCTGACTTTGGCTACTTCTAGGCCATTTAATTTGGACTGTGCTGTTTTTTAATATGACATTTTTGAAACTGAAAGTTTCTCCCATTTTCCTAGGAAGCACGAAAAGAAGTACAGGCTAGTGAGGTTTTTGATGCTGTAGTTGTTTAGTGAATCCAAGCCTTGCTTGAGGTGTACTTGATGAATATTGAGTTGACTGTTGGAAAACACCAGAATGTCACAGGGCTTTGTCCTTGTCCTTTTCCTCTTGAACCTATTTATTAATGCTTTGTTGAAGACATAGGAATCAGAACTCTTTACAGCTGGACTCTCACCTTGACAGGGGTATTGGGATTGTGTACAGCTGCGTGTGATAGGAAGCTGGCTACAGTGGCTAATTCAAATAGTACTGTTTTTCTCACATGGTAAGAATCCAGAGGTGGCCTGTCCTGGTAGCTCTAGCTGCTTAATGAAGCCATCAAAAACCTGCCCCGTCGTCCTGGCCATATGGTTTGCGTCCTTGCATCAGGTGTAAGCAGTTAAGCCTCAAAGACAGCAGTTAATTGTTCTTTCACGTAGTGGTGCAGATAGGCAGGCGAGGTCTAGGATAGCGATTGTCTTCCATGAGGCCCAACAGTTCTCAGGTGGGGCCCTTACTCATTGTCCAAGGTGGCAGCTAGTGCCAGACAGCAGAATGTAGGAGGAAAGGATAAAGGAAGGACAGAAACTGTGTGCTAGTTGCCTTTTAAGGAAGATTCTTTATAGCTGCCATAGAATATAGATTTTTGTTTTGTTTTGTGATACAGTCTTACTCCGTTGCCCAGGCTAGAATACAGTGACATGATCATAGTTTGCTGCAGCCTTGAACTCCTGAGCTCAAGTGATCCTCCTGTCTCAGCCTCCCGAGTGGCTGGGACTAGAGGTACATGCCACCATGCCCAGCTAATTTTTTAATTTGTAAAATTTTTTGTAGAGATGGGGTCTTGCTATGTTGCCCAGGCTGGTTTTGAACTCCAGGCCTCAAGAGATCCTCCCACTTCGGCTTCCCAAAGTGCTAGGATTATAGGCATGAGCCACCACACCTGGCCTTTACGGATTTTATTGACCAGAGCTTGGTCATGTGGTCACACATAAGCTTCAAGGGAGGCTGAGAAATGGGAACCTTTATTTCAGGTACTAGGTGCCCACCATAGAATCAGGATTCAGTTGTTAATGGAAGAAGAGGAGAGTAGACTTTGAGGATGAACCAGCAGTCTCTGCCACAGTCTTTATAACTGAGAAATGGCTCTACCTGTAAGCATTATACCTAGCTTTGGACAGTACGCGGCAGATGGGTTAAGGGCACAGCACACTGTGAGTGCCACCCAAGCCTATCCCTTTTCATCAGGAAAACAATGTCTTTCTTGGGAAGCCTCACTTAGACTTTTGTTTACATCTTGTTAGCTAAAACTGGGCACCTGGTAACTCCAAATTCAAGAGTCTGAGGGCGTGAATTTTTTAAGAGAGTACATTTACCACTGTGAACAAAATTAGGGGTTTTAGGAAGAAGAGGAGAGTAGATACTGGGTAAGCAACTAGTAGTATCTATTATAATGTGATAAGTGCAATCGAAAATAATTGTTACAGGGTATTATGTGTCCTGTACTACCTAGAACCCAATTGCAAAAGAGTCATGAAAAGATGTAATTGCTAGTATTAGTTGGAAATAAACAGAAAGCCTAACCACCATGGCTTAAATAAATTAAGGATTTATTTTACTCACCACAAGAAGTCTTGGAGGTGTGCCAGCTGGCATTATTTCATTGGCTCAGTAATTTCAGATCTAAAATCACTTTGAATCGCTTGTCTTTTCCCTCATGGTTTCAGGGTGACTGCTGCAGCTCCAGCCATCACATCCACATGCAAGACAATAAGAAAGGAAGAAGCAAATACATCAGTACACTTCTGTTTCATTTCATTAGTCAGAGCTGTTTCACATGACCATTCCTGGCAGCAAGGGAAGCTGCATAAGCAAGTATCTTATGATATCCAGCCTCCATGTTAGACACTACAACAGAAAAGGAGGAGGGGGTATTGGATGATCTAACCTAGAGTGTCTGCCACAGCATGGATTAAGTCCTATATTTGAGTTTTCAAAAGTATTGTAGAGTTAATAATTGGCTTGTCAGTAGTGAATACAAAAAATACTGGAAACTTTGTCAACTGTTCAGTATAACTTAATATGCTGCTCTTAAGAGCTAATGTAATTAGTTAGAGTGATGAAAAATGTGAAGAATAGGAAGTAATGAATGGTTCTTTGATTTTCGGTGGCTGTCTTTGACCGTGTTGGAACAGAGGTAGAGGATTATAGTGTGCCCTAAGAAATGGGAGTATTCAGTGCAGAGAAGAAGTGGACTAGAGGATGACCCATTGGCTATCTTCATACGAGCTGTACTGTGGCGGGGGAATTAGACTCATGTCACATTTTACTTCTCATATACAACTAGGCTACAGGGGTGGAGATTTTTTTCTCTTAATATAAGACTTCTTTCAATTCCAGGAGATGATGATTCTAAAATAATATCTAAAAGTTTTGTGCTAAAGCGTCTTAGCAAAAATAGCTGTGGCAAATTTCCGCACTTGTGAAGGTATTGTTAGTGTTAGTTGTTGAGCAGAAGGCCACTTGAAAGACTTGGGATCCGCATGATGGCATCTGAGAAGAGGCAGCAGGAAGCCCTTGGGAGCCATGTTGTAAGGCTGCAAAACTGTTTGTAGGGAATACATTTCTGTCATTATATTTTCTTCTAACCTCTTAGAAGGCAGGTATGGAGCTGTTGCTTAAAGAATTTTGTTGTGCTTCATAGTAGATTCAGAAGATTTTACTTTCTGAATGTATTAGTTATGTATTGCTATGTAACAAATTACCAGAAACTCAGGGCTTAAAACAACAAAAACAGCAAGCATGTATTTGTTATATAGACTGCTACATTTTCTAAGGATCAGACTCTGGGAATGACTTGGCTGGGTGGTTTTGGCTCAGAGTTTCTCATGAGGTGGTATCGCGTAGCGTCTGGGAGAACCTGCTTTCCAGCTCACTCACAGGGTTGTTGGCAGGCGTCAGTTCCCTGCTGGCTGCGGGCCAAGGCTTCCATTCTTTACTACGTGAGCTTCTCCATAGGCTGCCTGAATTCTTCATGCTGTGGCGGCTGGCTACTCCCAGAGTGACAGAAGAGAGAGGAAAAGCCCAAGATGGAAACTGCAGTCTTATATAATCTCATCTCTGAAGTGACATACCATTATTTCTGCCATGTGCTGTTGGTCATGCAGGCTAACCGTGCTGACCTGGGGGTTCTACACAAGGGTGTGAATGACTGGAGGCAGGGTGCTGTCTTGCAACCTTGACGCAAAGATGCTTTCTGAATTCCATGGCTAAGGAACCACAATAAGGAAAGAATAATTAGTATATATTTTTTAAACTTTA